TATGACTATAGATGAGAAGAAATTTTCATATTAGCATCATTTTTTTTTAGAAGTAAAACTTATATTTATAATACCGCATCTCTAGATCAATTCTTTTCTTTTTTAGTCACTCTATTACCAAGCTAGGTGTTAAATTCGTTTTCTTTATACTATTTTTGCTATCGTTTAATTAAAAAAAAACTTCAAAGTCCTTTTAAAACGGAAACATTTGATGATATTGCAAGTTAGCAGGCATGTTTCGAGTAGAGTTTGTCGGGTTGCTCCTGGATCCGGTCGCGTCCGGATCCAATGGACTCTAGTCCCGCGGTCACACCGATTGAGAGGAGACAGATTGATGACTCAAGAGGTTGATTGGAAGACTTTTGCTAAAATTGATCGAATTTTGAGAGAAAACGAAAATTTTTCAAGATTGGAAAGATCACACGTCCCGATTCGAAACACCCTGCACGTCAGACATAGTTTATTAACAAACTTGAACATGAACTCTGTCTATCATGTTGTAGATTATATGAAATAGGTTTGATTAATATCTTCTTGTAACATTCGAATGAAACAAACAATACGAAAAAAAAATAAAAATAGATGAATAATATTCTTTTTCTTATTAGACTTGTTACTGAAATTGTTTGAAAGTATATATGAAATATATATGTTCATAAATTCTATATGTGCTCGGTTTGACTATCAAAATGACAGATTGTAAAGCACTTCCATTTTCTAAGAACAACTTCATTTTTTAGGTTATATTTTTAATTCAATAAGTCGTATATTCATGTAGATATACGTATGCTTTTTATATCAATCATCGTTACTTCTTTCTTTTACAAATATAAATTTTTTTTTCTGCTATTAACACATGTGAATATAGCTAAAACATGATAGTAACCAGTAAAAGCATGCTTTGTATCGATTCATGACTTGAAAATTTACTTTCTGAGTCAATCAAAAAAAAGCAATTTATCGTAAACATCTGTGATTCATATAAAATAATTTTTCATTCATTTATGATAAAATAAAATCATACATACGTTTATAAGGTATTGACCAATTATCACCATAAACTTTTGTTTCAAGATCAAGAAAAGCATTAGTTGTAAATGAATTAAAATTATTTATTGAATATTCATCCGACGATACAGAATGTGAACCATTTGAATTATTATTATTATTATTATTATTATTATTGTTATTATTTGAAGGAACCTTTAAAAAAGAAAATGAAATAATAAAATAAAAATAATTAAAAAAATTTTTTTATTTTCATTTCTAAAATAATAACCGTCTGTTTTGATTTGAATATTTTATTGAAAATTTTTTTTCTCAGATGCACCATAACTTGTCTGACGACAAAAATAAATAAAACAACTCCAAAAAAAACAAAAAAAAAAATCTTTTTATTTTTTTTCTTTTTTCTTTTCTTATCTTCCGTTTCTTTGTCACATTTCTTTTTTTTTTTCTTACTGTTTGTTGCTGTTGTCGTTCGAGTTGTTCTTCAGTTAATGGGCCAATGAAGGTTGATACCATTGCTTCAGTTGGTATAAGAATATCATCATTATAATAGACTGAACTAGTTAACATCGTTACGGCTTCGCTTATATCATTATGAGCTTTAATTAATGCTCTACGATTTAAATCTCGATCAAGAAATCCCATAGATATTAATGATTGAATATGATCTTCCATAGTTAACATATCATTTGTTGATGATGATGATGATGATGAACAAGCACTTGTTGAATTACTTGAATTATTTAACAAAAGACAAAAAAAGTAAGACATATTTAAATATGTGATTCAAATATGAATATACCTAGCAACACACTGTTTATTTCGTTGGGTACAAGAACGTTTTGGGGAATGATTATTGGTGGTTTCGGTTAAAGAAGAATTTACCGTGTGAGCACTGCGTTTCATCACGGTAATAATTATTCAGATGTTTAATATCCATCTGAAATAAAAATGAATATTAGTTTTTATTATTTAATCAAATTGAGTGATATCGAAAATTACAAATTTACCAAATATAAAACATGATCAGCATGATCAATCAATCAAACATCTAATTCACTTGTTTAATATTCGTTCTGTTCTTTTCTTGTGTTTTTCTTGAATGGATTATTCTTTTTTCTTTTTGTACAAAGATTCTTGGACCTATCGGTTTAATACACACGATTAATATGACGAGACGTGATTATTGTAAATAAAAAATAATATTTAAAAGAAATTTATAATTAACAAAGTGATAACTAGATCTGTAAACAAAAATGATTTGTTAACTTGTTCACAAGAGGATACATTCTTTCTTTTATTTTGATTGTTAAATTGAAACAATATATATCTGTTGAAAAAAGAATTAATCGTTAATGCAGTTTAATTAAAATTGAATTATTAAAGTGAAATATGGATATGTTTTGATTGGTTAAATTAAAAACCAATCGAATAGATATTTTATTTATATACAAAAGAATAATGGATTGAATCTTTAACTTTTCTTTCTTTTTTTTTTCTTTCTTTCGTCTTGTTCTATTTGATATTGTTGATTTAAAAACCAGATCAATTTACATAAGAATTCAACAAAATGCATATGTATATATATACATACATATGTGTTTAAAGAAAAGGCTAGTAAAACTATTTTATTTCGTTTTTATTATTATTCTGCATTTAGATGAAACCTTGTATTGTCACATATATATGCATGTATTAAAAAAAGCGGAAGAAAAACATAAATTTCATGAAATATGTTGATATGAACGACAGTGATGTTATAAGAAAAATGTTAAAGTCAATCTTGATTGTTTCTGTCTTCCTCTCTTTTTTTTTCTTTTTTACTCGATAGAAGATATATCGATTGGAGAGAAGCGTCCTGGTTGTGTCCTTTTTTAGCGCGCATGTCGAGCGTGTAATTTGATCGTTTATTGTCTGTATACGATGTACACATAAACTTATGCAACATAACCAGAAAAACGTTAATGGTTCAGAATAGATGTGTGTGAGTGAGTGTGAGTATGTGCTTTTCGATTGATGATGATGATGATAATAATAATGATGACATATAACTAATCAAATCGGATGTTTCTTTCTTTTTCTTTTTCGTTAACTATCATCAACAGCTTGTCATCAATTTGTGTCCGTTTACATACAATTTTATAATCATCAATCTTGCAAGTTATTTGTAAGTGACTTCTTGAATTAAATCGAGTTCTGAACCGAATCTTGTCGAACTTCATTAATTCTATTCTATTCATTTAATACAAACTTGATTTAATAATGAACAACAGAATAAAAGTAAAGTTAGATCTCAATAAAAGGTTGAGACCTTGAATTCAAAGCTCAATGTTCTCTTTATCCAGGTCAGTAACTGTCTAAAAGGGCATATTGAAGTGTATCACAACGTGAACAGAGACAGTCGATGAGAGTGTCAAATCTAGTACGAACCCGTTAAAATGAGAATTTGTTGGCCTCATGTTACAAGAGTATACATCTTCCTTCCTTTTGTTTTATTGTGCTCTACACTTTCATAACGCGCGTATTCTTTTTTTCTTCTTTTTATTAAGTACAGCAGGGTGTATTTTAACCGGTCAGTATCAACATCAGTAGGTTGACTTGTTTCATTATCCAGAGCCATCCATCAACTGTGTGTGCTCGCTTTTTTTTCATCTTGTTCTTTTGTCTTTCTCGCTCTCTCTTTATGTATGAATATATGTGGGTTTCATTACACTGAGGAATGGAAGTAAACGCACATACATGTAGGGACGACAAAAAAAAAACCGAGACATAGAAGAAAGAACGCTATTCATTCAATGCTTGTTCTCTTCTTTTACCCTAGTAAGGGTGATGATGGTCATCTTTTTTTTTTTTACAAGTAGAATAAGAATAGAAAAGGAAAAAAAAATCGCAGAAGAAATGTTCATGCCGTCTACATCTTACCCGATGTATGCATGCATACTCGTTTGCATCTCATAACAGCACTAGAGAAAAGAATGACAACGAGAGGGAGAGAAAAATAGTATAAATAGCACTGAGAAAATACCGTCCGATCTTCATTGCATGTGTGTATGTGTGCACGAACTGTGATGAGATATTCTTTATATATATATATATATATCATCTACAATATAATATATTCTTTTATCGTTCTTTTCAATGAGAGATGCACTACAAAAATAAGATATGAGATATGAATTGACAATTTTAGTATGCGAGCGATGGTAAATGTATGTCTATTCCAGTAGTTGCAGGTACGTGACAAAATGTAATTTTTTTATGTCTTTATTTTTTTTTTTTATGCAAAAAATTCCCAAATTTTTCTTCTTCGTCTACTGTCGAGATACATTTGATATATTTTTAATCTTGTTCATCGTTGTTGTCTATTTCATCTTGCATATTTTTGGCACTTTTCATACACGCACATAATCATGTTATCGTGTCACTCATCATCATTACAATACTTCTTTTTTTTTCAACTTGCATGCTTGTAATGTCATTGACATTCGCTATTGTGCAATATGAACGGTCAACAGTTTGTCATCATCATTTTCTTATTTATGCTATTCTTTCTCTGTTCTTGCAAACAAATAACATACGGGACTCATCAGTAAAATTATAATGTTAAGCGCGCTTGCACGCGCGCATATAGTTTGTAATCGTCGATACCAATTACTGATGGTTGAGCGCGAGAGAGCCATTAAGTGTCGTCTAGAAGCCAACGGGTCTTTTTTTTTCTCTTTTTTTTTTTTGTGTGTGTTGGTTACATGGTCAAGATACAAATCGATAAAAATGATGATCGTAGATCATATAAAGAACGAGCTGACTCAGTTTCTTTTTTTTCTCTATTCTCGTATTTCCAAGGTTGTTACTCGATGATTTGCTTTGGATAATTAGTTTCATTTTCATCTTTTTCTTCAGTAATAACCAAATATGATTACCTACTACTTCCTCTAGTATTTAAAGGTCGATGATAATAGCAGACTATCTTTCATATATAATCAATCTCTTTCTTTTTTTTTCTTCTTGCTTTGAACAAACATCCTTTTCTTTTTCTTTTTCTTTTCTAAGCAAATGAATATTAATCATAGATATTGACATATCTTGAAAAGAGATTTTGATTTCTTTTATTTTGATTTAAGATGAATTATGTATAATGATCTGATGTTATTCTATTCTTTATTTTTCTTATCTATAATAATAAGAATTATATTTGGACAACAAACAATAATTTATGTAAAACGTGGTGATGTAGCTGAATTATGTGACAATCGTTCAACATTAATATATGCTTATGAATATCGAAGTTTTGATGGTAAAAAAAGTTTTATTGTTGAACCATCAAAAGATGATCGATATTCAAATCCATATCGTACAAGTTTATTACGAATAAATAATGCGAATGAAGATGATAGTGGATTATATAAATGTCCACAAGATGATATTGAATGGCAAAAACTTCAAGTTTATAGTAAGTTTACAAATAAAAGAGGAATGACCATTAAATTGTAATTGTGTTGATTTTATATGTTACATCATAAATTTGATAGCATATCTTTTTCTTCTTTTTATATGAAAAAAAAAACAAAGTATATCTTGTTAGACACTCGATTTATTCTCAATCAACCGATTGTATTCAGAGAGTAGAGATGATTAAAACAAGATAAACTACTTTTGTATATTGTTATAAAAAACAAAGAAACAGACATCTATATCAATGATTAATGAAATTCTTGATTTACTATATTGAAAATGAAATTATTTTTTTGTTTTTATTTAACTAGTTCCTGTTCAACATGTATATTTAAGTAATCTTCATACATCATCTCGAATTTATAATAATGATTTATGTGGAATTGATAATAAAAATTGTTTAGTTATGATTGAAGGTGAACCATTAGATATTGTTTGTGCTGCTGATGGTTATCCACGTCCAGCACTTGATATATCATTAGATAAAAATGGTACAATACCAACAATAATGGCATTAGCAAGTGGTATACAACCACCAACATTTATTGATAATCAATTTAAACCAAGTGTTTATGAAGCTTATCGTATACCTAGTTTAACATCATATGATAATGGACGAAATTTAACATGTCGTGTTGATATGAAACAAATTGATAAAAAACTTATTTTATCAATAACAAAACAACTTTATATTGAATGTAAAATTTTCTTTCTTTCTTTTTTTTTTTTGTTTATTTGAATTTTTACTTTTTAATTATTGAATATTTTAGTTCGACCAACTGTTGTTGAAAAATTTAAAAAAATTTATTCTGGTATTAATCATACACGTACAATTAATTGTACAGTTATACGTGCTAATCCAACATATATACAATATACAATCAATGGTTTACCATCATCAATTATTCGTCGAACATATGGAGATCAAAATAATATGCATTATACATTTGATATAACACCAACATCACTTGAACATTTTCATTCATTTAATATAACGGCTAATAATAGTATTGGTGTTGATGCATGCACTTATGAATTAATTCATGGAGGTAGATATTATTATTATTATTTTTTTAAAATTAAGTCTCTTATGTAATAATATATATATATATATATATAAAATAATGGCTTTAATGGAAAAAAACTTTTCTTTGTAAAAGATCTCAAGTTACTTTTCTTTTTTTTTTTTGAATTTTTTATGAAAGAATGATTTTTGAATTTCAATGATACTTAATCGTTAATTAAACTTGCACGGTTTCTTTCTTAGATACTTCATACGACATTATTTTTATGCAACCTAAATAGTTGAATATATACGTGTATATAATGAGTGGCTCATAAATAACTAGACGACAAAATAAAAGAAATATCTCCGGTCTCCTTTAATCAATCGAACTAATTGTTTGTTTCGGTGATGAAGGACTCTTGAAAGTTTTTATTCATAAGGAACCGACGAAATAGATACTGTTTAGAACTAGCACTATTGACTAGAAGGATATCAACCATTCTTAAATCTAAACATATGAAATTTTTAACACATATATACTACCATAGTAATGTGAATTAGTGAGACTAGTTCGAACTCATTCGTTTGAGTGGAAGCAAAGTTATGATCTATGACAATCATTCTCATCGTGAGATCCATAACTCAAGAAGAGAAGAAGCTTATGACTCATTGAACTTATCATTATGTAAATCTTTAGTACGGCTATTTACGCTATAAATTTTATCGAAGCATTCAAAAACTGTAGACATTTTACATAGTGATAAGTTGATTTGGTTGTAAGCTCGTTCCATTCTTGATGTATAGAACTCATCGTGAGAAGAGCTATAATACATCATAACATCTCTTTAATTGAAGCGGTCGAAACAAGACTAGCCTTATTGGTCTACAATAGTATATATGTTAAAAAATTTCAGATGTGTAGTCTTAAAGACGGCTGAGACCACAGAGAAATACCTTTGGGTAATGTTGTATTTCTTTAATGAGGTCATTAATGCTAGTTCAAAGCAGTATTCATTTGACACCTTGTATTTGTGAATAAAAACATTGAAGAGTTGTCTATTATCGAGCAGAAAAAAATCTGCCCGATTGATTAAAACAGAATGGATATATTGATTGTTTTTATTGTCTAGTTATTGATGAACCACCATGTATAGTTTTATGCATATTAGTCTTATCCAATCAACACATCATATCTCTCAAATCCGTATTATAGTGATAACACTAATGTCATTTTCAATTAATAGAACTAATCGAATAAGAAAGAATTTATCTTTTGTCAATTGATATAACATATCAATTAGGAGTTCAGAGAATACATAGAGTATTATCTTTATGTGTCTGTATGACAGCTTAGACTTAAACTTATAAAATTATTGATTGACTAGTTATAATTCAATAAACTTATCTAGAACAATCACTTAATACATCAAGATATTTAGCTGCATTACTAAACAAACTTAAGTTAACTATTGAAATAACTTCTTATAACAAAAAAAAAACATGTATATAATAAACTTTTACCTTAAAAATTATTATTCGTTAAATATAATTTTTGTATTTAAAAATCATTTATCTCTATTTTTAGGTGTACCTGATGCTATAACTCATTGTACAGTTGATACATATACATCAAATGTAACTGTAACAATAAGTTGTACGAAAAGTTATGCTCAAGGTGATAATGATAATTATGCATGTACATTATATAAATATAATGATAAGAATAAGCTAAATCTATTTGAAGAAATAGCTCGAACAAAATCTTGTATATTTGCATTAGAAAATTTTCATGAACCTGTTGAATTTCGTGTTGTTGCATTTAATCGTTATGGTTCATTACCACCAAATACATTTGGTTATATTATTCGATTAAATCAACCAACAAGTAAATAATCAAAATTTGTGTTTTTACTGAATAGATTTAATTCGTTTTCTTTTTTTCTTTTTTTTTTAGTACAAAAAGAAACATCATTTTTTAATAAAAAAATTCTTCTTATTATTGGTTGTATATTTGGTGGTACAATTTTATTCTTTTTTCTTTGTTGTCTTTGTGGAACATGTCATTATGATCGAACAAAACTTGAAAATAGAAATAATCTTTATCAAAAAGATAGTAAGTATTATTTTTGTCTTTATTTGTTTTTTTGAAATATTTATATCACAATAAATCATTGTTCACTGATATTCAGCATTACCAGTGGCAAGAGAACATTGTCATATTGTTTCTGTAAATCAGATTCAATCTTCTTCTTCTTCTCCTTTTTCTATTATTTCTTCCACGTAGGTTTTCAAACTAGACATAAAAAGAAAAAAAACGACATCAAATGCATGATTTTATGCATGTCTTTTTTTTATTTTGCGCTATTATATATTTTTTTTATATTTGACCAACAAAAAATCAGTTAGATATTAAAGACATTGAAGTAAATTTATTTATTATTATAGAATATCCCCGCTCAACGACCGAGAGCGAAGCATTAAAACCAATAAATGGTAAATTTTCCTTGTTTTTTATTTAAATAATATATTTTTTTAAAATAATTTTAATTTATTTTAAGACGATACAACTTCCAATTTAGTTCCAAATGGTGTTGACAAACATCATCAGGTTAGTTTCCAAGTTTATTAAACTTTCCTCTCTCCACAAAATAAAAGTTCATCCTATTCGAATCAGCGTAAAATACCAATGTAAGTCATCGAATAGATTAGTTCATCGTTGTAACTTCCTTGGCGTATCTAATTTCGTTTGTTGTACATGTTTTCTATTAACAAACAAATGAGTTTCTTTCGTGAGCTGAAAAACGTGTACACATGGCCATTAATGAGAAACGGTTGTTTAGGAATTGGCGAATAAGAAATATAATATGCTTTAATACAACTCTGTTCAACTTCCTCCTGTTATGGAATTATATACGGTCTACAAAATAAAACGATGTAAATTTTTATTAAGATGACAAAAATATGGACAAATCTTTCACATAATAATGAAACATTTCATAAAGCTGAACAATTACATGAGAGATTTTCGGATTGAAAAATAAATACCAGTATGAGATGAATACAAAATCCATTATTGAAACATTCATAAGATCTGAGCTATCTATTTCATAGAAATGAGAAACTCTCATTTAGTAGTAAAAAGTTTACTCTATACTTCTTTCAAGATACATTGAAAAATATCTCGATGCATTTCTGAACAATTTTACCTTAACTTCAAAGATGATGTCGTCTGACAGAATCGTATAGAAGCTTTTCTCAATTTCTTGAAGCGCGGGTTGAACCTATCTATATTAAGATACACGAAGTGTTGATGAAAGATGAATGTGTCAATGAGAAAAGTAGTGTAATGAAGGTATGACTTAAGTTATCTAATAAGAAAGAACTGAAAAAATATAGAAATTAATTTTTGATTCGCCGGTAATTATAAAAATTTTGAGACAGTACGAAAACTTCAATTCATTGAATCTTGTTTATTTCTGTACTTGTAAGCAAATTAAATCATAACTACAATACAAAAACCGTTGATTGCAATGAAATCCCAACTTGCGAAACAGATTAGAAGCCTCGTAGACTGCTATTCTTTGTGTATGGGAAGAGTGAGTTAAAAATCGAATTTAATTATTAATTTGTTTTTGTTTTCTTAGAATGGAGCTGTTTATGATATTCCTATTCATTTAAATGGTAAATATTCTCATCAAATGTCTACTCCAACATCTGTTTATCATCAACAAAAGTCTCAACAATCAACTAATCTTCATTATATTGATCAAGATTCAATAACAAGTAGTCTTAATTCAATACCAACACGAACACGTACATATAATAATAAATTTTATGGTAATCCATTAATGGATAATAAATATGGACCATTATCACCGTCAAGTATGATTGTTCCAACAAAAAAAATCAAACCTAATAATGATGAAATTATTGAAAATGATGAAGAAGAAGAAGAAGAAGAAGATGAATCACCAGTTTATTCAACAACAACAGATATTATGTCTGAAAGTGGTTCATTTCTTGTTCCAACATCATCAACAAAACGTCGTGCACCACCTCCACCTAAACCACGTTATTCAACATTAAGTTCTATTCGTTTACCACTTGAAAATTCAGATAAAATTCCATTACCATTACCTAAACCACGTTCACGTTCAAATTCTCGTACACGTTTAAATAATGGTAGTTCAGATAATTCATCATATTTATATGAAGAACGTCCTGTATCATCATCCGATTCTGGTATAGGTCCATCAGATGTTGTTTGTTTACCTAATGGTGATACAATACGTTCAGGTCTTGTTAAATCAAGACAAAATAGTTTACAAAAACATTATGCTCATCCACCATTTTTCCAGCAACAAACAAAATGTGAACCATTAATATCACCTATTGTTCGTGGTACTGAATGCTGAAAACGTTTTGTTTTGTTTTTTTTTCTTTTTGTATATATTATGCATGTGTATCGATTGGTATTATTCGATTTTACCAGCTGTATACAGTATTACAAAAAAGACGCAAAAGTACACTTGTTATTGTCATTGGTATACGCATTTGTAAGGGTTTTCTTTTTGTATTTCTTTATTTCCTATTGTTGATTAGTTTTTTGTTGATACTTATATGATATGATTTATTCAGATTTTCTGTTTTTTTTTCTTTTGTTTGTACTTGTATAACACAAAAAAATCAAACATGAAAACTCAGATTTCAATCAATGGATAACAATAATCTCAATGAGGTTATATATAAATATATATATATCGCAGAGATGATATGATGATTGTTCGAGTATCGTTTCTTCTGTTTTTTTCTTGTAGAACAATGGTCGATCCATATGATTTTGTAGCTTCACCTTCAAATGTTAAATCTAAACAAACACGTAAAAAATCAATAATGAAAACTTCTAAGAAAAGGAAATCAAATGAAAAGCCACGACGTGTATCAACTCGACAAACAAATAGTAAACTTCGTATACCTACTAGATTGAGTATACATGATACAGATCATTTAATTGATATGCATGAAAAAGAAAATCATCCGAATAATGGTTTTACTCAATTAATTGAAACAAAAATGATGGAAACCAAAAAACGACAAGGTAAACGTACGAATAAAAAAGTTAAGATAATAACAGATGATAATCATTCTCCATTAATAACGAAAAAACGACAACAATCAGGTAAATTCATACATCAAATTTTGTTTTTAATTAATTCTGTTTGCTTATTATTATTTTTTTTTTGATTAGAGATTGAAGATAATTCTGATATGATACCCATATCAACTGAAATAGGTATTTTATAAATTAATTGTAAAGGCTTATAATAATTTTAATTTTTAATTAGATCCAACAGATAACAATCTTCCACCGAACATGACCGACGAGCATGTCAATGCCGGTACAACGAAAATAACAAATCCTCTTCCTTGTGAATCAAAAGGTATCAAATATATAAATTTCAATAGAATTCGAATTAAATCATCTCTTTCATTTAGATCATTATCTAGTTTTGGCAAACAAACGACGTCGTGCATGTCTATGTTCAAGTAAAATTTTTATATACCAAACTCTAATTAGACAATCAATTTTATTGTAATTTAGAGAAACAATTAGACGAACTTGAATTTACCCCAGATAATGCTCCATCACAAACACAACGGCAACAAAAAGAGGAGCAGCAACTACAAGAAAAATCTCATTTAGAACCAATTTTAAATCCTATTAGTAATTCTCCACCTCCTCTTCTTCTTCCATCTTCAATTTTAATGCCACCTTCAACTTCAACATTTACAGTCCCACCTGTTCAATCAGTATTAATAAATCAACAAGAAGAACACAATGAAGAAGAAGAAGAAGAAGAAGAAAATCAATTACATGCATCATCAATTATGGCTGCTCCTCTTTCACCAACAATGCCTCTTAATTCAACCTACATTGCTCATCGATCGATTCCAATACTAGCACAAATACCATCAACATTACTTGATTTATCAACAGTAATACCTCGAAATACAACAACTATTTCAAATAATGCACCATCACGATTAACATCATCTATCGTTGAATTTTCAAATCTTGAACAAAATAAATCTGATCATTCATCATTATTAGAACCAATTAAAACAATTTCTAATCGACAAGATCAAGAAACATCAATGACACCAACAAATGTTCAAACAATACGATGTTCTGTATCAACACAAACTAGTGATGATGATAATTATTGTCCAACTCATCATCCATGTAATGATGTTAGTTTATGTCCATGTGTTCAGATTTATACACGCTCTGAGCAATTATTTATGGCTAGTATGTCAATATTCTTTCGTAATTCAATAACAGTAACACCTCCAGAACCATCATTAACAATAATTAATAATACAAAAAAAAAGAATGATAAACGACAACAAATAAATCATCCTATTATATCTCCTTCTCAGCCAATTCCTTTAATTAATAATATTGAAATTCCAATTCAAATTGAAACACATATTGAGAAACATGTAAGACAAATAGAATAATAATCTTGAAAGTTTATTTAATGTTCTTCAATAGGATAATGTTCAAATTAATCAAACATATGTAACTAACAATAATAATGATACTATTCCTTCGATCGAACCTGAACCTCAGCAATTATCATCACATATTTTACTCGATACATCAACAATAATTAATGAAACTCGTTATGATAATTCAAAAAAATCCGATGGATCATCTATACAAATTAATATTAATTCCAAAGAAGAATTAAATAAAAAATTACATGAAGATAATTCATCATTAAAATCTTCTAATGATCAACAAAAATTTAAGTCATTAGTATTAGCAATGACAGCTTTAAAAGATGATCAAAAAGTAGAAATTTTTTTTCTATTTCAAATATTTTAGATTTATATTTTGTTTTGTTTTCAGATTGTATTTAATCGTTTTATTGAACATTTTTCTGTTCATTCATCAATATCAATCAATGAAACAACAACACATTTAATAACTAACGATGATGAAGAAAATTCATTAAAATGTCCATTAACTGGTAAAGTATTACAAGCTGTTGCACGTCATCTTACAATCGTTTCTTATCGATGGTTAACAGCATGTTTAAATGAACAACGTTATGTCGATGAAATTCCAACATATGAGATCATTGGTGATACAATATATAATGAACATTATGGTATGTCTCGTTCTCGATTAAATAATTCAAATAATTATCGTCTATTAGCAAATTATGCATTTCATTTAAAATGTCATGGATGTCAACCATTTATAGATAATCGACCATTAATTGAACTTATACATTTATCTGGTGGTCTTATACTTAAAACACTTAATCAACATATTGATAATATTGGAAGACAAATTATAATCTTATGTTCAAAAAAATATCTTCAAAATAAACTAGCATTACAACAAGCTTGTCAAAAACTGAAAATTCTTTGTATTGAACCAGAATGGCTAATTGCTAGTATTGTAAAATTTGATATACAACCATATGAACCGTGGCTATGTACTTTATATTCATAATTTAATTTATATAGAACTGTTTTTGATGTATGTATACATTTATATTATTCATTGCAATTATCATTTTTTTTGTTTGTTTATATTATATATTAATTTTATTGTCGAATAAAAGAAAACCAAACAGATAATAAATGGTGAAATGTAAAGTTTATATACTAGGGAAAAAAATAATCATGTCGTATCATATCTAGAAGTTAAGTTTTAACTTGTATTATTCAGAGGTACTCGATAGAAATTGAAATGTCTATAATATATCTTGAAGAGAGAACTAAATTCTTATTTATTTACTAGCTACAATTAAACTTGAATAAGACTTTCAAAAACTATTTTCTAAATGAAAATCAAAGTCTGAATACTACATAATTAACTTATGGATATATCCTACACATATCAATACAATCAATTGATTAACCTTTTAAAGCTGTCGCTTAAATTTCTTTACTACATTCACTAACTCTCAAATATTATTCGAGAAATCAACTACTGAAGGCAATATCACATTTGCAAAATATAAAACGAAAATAGAAAGCTGCATTTTTTGTTCTTCTGTAAACAATTATTTTGTGCAAGACGGAGATACATGTTCATAAGAATAAAAAAGAAATCGTGTCTAATATTTTTCTCTTGGATACGTGACTGTGTATTCGTCTTACAACATAAATAATTAAAAACCTTCGTTTTTGTTTTTGTTTTTTTTTTCGTTTGTCGTCAATGAATGTTGTTACAGGCCTGTTTTGCTTTTATAAAAATACACTTGACCAAAGGGAATAACAACTTACTTGAGTTTTAATTAAAAAACACAAAGACAAATAATATTATGACTAACGAGGAAAAAATCCGGAAACAAAGGTCAACGACAACAGAAAAGTATTAAAAATTCTATATGCAGAAAAATGGACAAGTCAGTATTTGGTTCTATCAAACTTACGTTCTCAACAACATCCAGTGAACATACTTGCACATACACTTATGTTAAATTTACTGAAGAAGAAATCCAAAATAGTTGCTGTGATCTTCAAAGTAATGGTAGAAAAGTTAATGTATGCTTACGTCGAGCAGTTGCAATATAATTTTCAGAATACCAATGTCATCGCAATGATACTTCGGCGAATCAACCATCTGGTTTATACTTAAAACTCCTTGACGACAGTGAGTTAATGAATGCTTTTGTTGAATCCTCCAATGAAGATGATGACATTTTATATTGTCCTTCATGATAAAAATGCAAGTATAACAAGAGTAAAAATTGCCAATAACCTTTTATGATTACTATAATCCACAAACAAAGTTCTAATATCATTTCATTTTGTGATCATATTTAATATTAGATAGCAACAATGTCCATATTATAATATATAACTTCAGGCAAAGAAACCTGAAAGTATCTATTATCAATTGTTAGAAACTAATCTGTAACTATATAATCAAAGGACAACAACGGTTAATACTTAGACGCAAGAATTACGTACAAACGAATAAAATACTACTCGAGGAAGCTCAACTGTACTCAATCTATGATGGTATAAATATTATCTTTCTATAGCATTTCTTATACAATGACTCTAACCGATCAAATTCCTGCACTTCTGGATAAAGTGGTACAAATTATAGGTATGGGATGCTAATTACTATATATTATCTTGTCTATTTTGGATGATATGTCTAGGGAACAAACAAGAAGATAATATTTTTTTGCAATCTCTTGTTTTCGCTGTTTTGTAGCTCTTGACGCTGAGAAAATGGCTCCGCTTTTAAAATGAATAGCAGAGACCAAAGGTACATGATATTTTGGCATAGTCTAAACATGACCGCAGACTCACGGCATTCTAAATTTTTTTGTGATCAATTTTTGATTTTTATTTAAAGATATTTATACACTCTTGCTTTTAATTAAATTTCCTATCCAACAGTATATAAACTAACTATCAAACCATATAAATCCTCTTTTGAAAATGACGTATCCGTTAACTCTAAAAAGCCACAAGAGAACCTATTCGGCTGAGTACCAAAGTAAGTTACAAGTTTGACCGATCAAACTAAAACTTATAGGAGCGACTAGTAACTCTAGACTCTATAATCGCTGAATATTGCATGTCAAACACCCATTGTTTTCTGATTGGACCAAAATAGTCCCAAAACATTCCCTCATCCTTTGCATTTATATGTAAAAGATTCACACTGCATCGTGTGGTGTATTCTGTTTTTTTAATACAGCGCATTAGATTATAAAAAATGAGTTGGAAAAAGGTGCTGTTTTTTTGTCTGTGAGAGACCATTTTTTTTCTAACTGTCAAAAATTAGTGGCTCACAATTTTGTCCATTCTGAAAAGAAAAGGTGCAATTATAAAATAATCTGTCCTTTGTAGATTGTAGAGCTTTTCACGCTGCATCTTGTAGTGTATTTTGTTTTTTTAATATAGCGTATTAGGTGATGAAAAAATGAATCGGAAAAAGGAACTTTTTTTTGTCCGAGGGAGACTAGAGCGCTTAGACAATATTTGTTCACATGTACATTTCCTCATTTTGCATGATTATTTCTCATCTTTCCCTTGCTTCCCGAATCACAACAACAACAATTTCAGTAGAAATTTTGCGTTGATGTTCGACTGGTATGTCGTTGCCCTTTGATCTCAGCTCCTAATCTATACACTATGACTAATGAATTCATATTAGAGGCTTGCATTAAACACTACATTCAAAGAAGATTAAAATATATGCGCACAATCGATCTTGGCCGTTCATTCTTCTATAATGATATTTTTCTTTGGAAAGATTTTCAAAAAGAAAGAAGGATCACCTTGGCCAGTTTTTTCGTAGTAATTATCTGAAGCAATTGGTAGAAAAGCATGAATAGATGCTCTTAAAATGGATATCATTTATTGAAAACAATTAGTTGTATACAAAGAAAAGAGCATACTAAATTTTTCTTTCATGCTTCCTTTTTTTTCATTTTTTTTGCTTCTCCTTTTTCTTTTTCTTTCTGTTCTGGAAACGTTTACGACTGTCTTCCTTAGCTTCCCTTCCCTTCCTGTCTCTTTCGTTTAACGTGCTTCTTCTCAAATTTTTGAATTTTTATGATTTTATTTGCTTTTTTCTTGTTGTCTGTGTTAATGCTCTTACACTCACGCGGGTAGAGTCAATACTCGATATACTGATATTGGTGGTAACTGTAAAATGTATTGCATTTATGTTGTTGTTTAATGCTTAAGCATCATAATTTCTTTCTATACTATTATTTTATATGACATGCACGTGAAAAAAAAAGGTACATGTATAGTTACTTTAATGATTCATTTGGTCGTTGCATTCGTCGCATTGCATGTGTTTCAGTTCTCTGTGTAAGAAAAAAATTGCACAACCACGACGAAGGTTGGTGACACATTGTCAATAAACACATAGAAAGAAAAGTAAATTTTAACAGATAATCATTTTAACAATAGATACTGTTCGAAAGAAACCAACATTAATGTCTAATAAAACTCCTTCGTCTCTTTTGGCACTACCTGTCGAGCTTGTCTATCACATTCTGGACAATCTTGATCAATTAACAATTTTGTATTCAGTTCGTAATGTATGTACACGACTGAATGTCATCACTGACACATATTATCGATACCAGGTAAACTTCATCTATATCATAGAGTAAGATTCCTATAATCTTCAAGACATCATTGAATTCAGCATATGATTATTATTTTTGATATTTTACTTCTTGACTTTAGAGTAGTAATAGTTCGAAAATAATATTGTGACTTTGATCAATATCACCTTTAAAGAAAAGAATCAATTACATTATTCAAGTTATTGCCAAGGATTTTATCAAGTTTCTTTTTTTCTTGTTCTACAACATTTTACTAAACAGAAAACAAATTTAAGATGTTTTTAAAACGCATAGAATCTTTTCGCATGCAGTTTTTTTCCTACATGATTTAGAAAAAATACTTCTTCAGATAAACTGAACTGAAGATCATAGAAGAGACCTAGTTGGGTTTTATGAATTTTACATTTCTTGAGTTTAGGAAATCTAAACATTCATTAAAGAAACGAAGTCATCCAAAGAAAATAAACATGCTTCTAAGAAGTCGCAGAACCTAAGAAACTCTAAGAGTTGTCAGAAGTTTAGGGACTCTAACAATACTCTAGAGTCATAATAGTTATACAATCATCCAATGAATGCCACTATGTCCTTATAATCAAAGAAAACAAATAAGCAGCGGTTTTGGTGCATTTTTACTCTGACAATTATGGTAATCTTTAGATAGAGTGAATAAAATGTAACTTTTCAGAAATCGGTGTTTTTCGAATAGAGGCTTACTTAAGAGAAGATGAGTAATTTATTTGATTGGTGGAACGATCGGTTGACGATAAAAAGGTCTCTAGTTCATAATTCTTCTCACATAAAAAGGATTTCCTAACTTAACTGAATGCAAACCTTGTACAATAGTGAGTTGGACGTTTTATGTGAGATTTCAGGTGATTCAATCGATCTTTTCACTACCGATGTAAATATTTTTTATGTCAAAACAGGTCATTTTTGCATTTAACGTTTATATGAGTAATTGCATTGGAGTGCATCATTTCTTTGAACAATACCTGGACTTGTAATTTGAAATAAAGATTTCCGGATGAATGCTGTAATAATAAAATTCGATTTGTGAAAGTAAAAGAAACCTGAAACACAGCACGAAGAAGTCTGTTTAACTTACAGATTCTATCCAGCATTCTGTTTTATATAGAAAATCATGAAACGAAAATTTTCTGCATTTAAGAATGATCAATCAGTGATCAAACCAGACCTCTTCACTTGAATAATTTCGTACGACTTTAGTGAATTCTTTCTTGATTTTTTTTTACACCTGACTGATATGAACGAAGTTATCAGGAGTTTCTCAAGCAGTCTGAAATACCCCCTTATTCCACAACGAAACAAAGTCGATGATGATTGTAACCAAATGATCTCTAAAATCTCGTGAAAATCTTGCATATTTCTTAGTAAAAAATTCAAAGGTAGATAAAATAATCTAACAGGATTCTCGTCAGATTTGATGTCAATCTTGCTTAGATATTTGCATTCATTCATCTTGCGATCGTCCATCATAGTCTGTATTTACTTTCCACAAAGTATTCACCAATCACTCGAGAATTACATTTGATAATATTAAGAAGAGCATCCAACAACCACGATAATAATTTCACGACAAAATAAATCACAGGATATCATGCAGCTACACACTCCATTCGGTCTCAAAAAAGTATTTCTTCAATCATCGTGATCTCGATAAGGGTTGTCAATAATTATGCTCCAAGTTTTAAGTAACCCGGGTCCGAAAATATGATAGCCAGCAGCAAAACTGATTTCGAGTTCAATCCAATATATTATTGTTTTAGTATTACTCATGCAAATTCAGCATTCACTTATGAATCAATCTCATATCAAGATCGATTGAATGCTTATATCATCGAGAATTCTCTTCAAAAAACATTGCGTCATCCGTCCAACCCTGACTAAAAAACGCTAAATCTGCCGTTACATAAACTTAAAGCAGGACAGTAACGTCTTCTTTTGGATATTGTTCTCCGTCATCATGCCATCTGCTACAAAACATCACCATCATAGCAAGAAAAAAGAATAAGAGAGGATATACAAACAACTGAAAGATAGAGAACTGGCAAGACGCACTCATTCTGCATGTTCTTTCCATGCTGTTCACTTCTCCGTACGTTTGTTAGACCAGTCCATTCAACCTTCCTTGTGATCGCCTTCACATAAGCCATCTTTTTACAACAATACTACATTTTTTAAGACAGAAATAATAATGACCATATTTTATTTCTCTCAAAGCTAACGTATTGAAGACCACGTCAGTCACCAATCTTCTCTCAAATAACACACTGATAGGGAATTCCTTATCCATTCCGCATTCTTATCATCACCACTTTTCACACAGACACTCACCACACTCAATCTTGGGGCAAATGGAATCGGTGACGAAGGAACAAAACAACTTACCAATGTTCTCATCAACAACATGGTAAAACACCATTCTGAATTTACTTCTATTTCTTCACTATCTCCACTTTCTACTCAGACAATCATCGCACTCTACCTTGGGTGGAATCAAATCGGAGAAAAAGGGGCACAACATCTTGCCAATGTTCTCATTCACAACACGGTAAAAAGGCATATTCGACTCATTTCTATCTTCACTATCTCCACTTTTCACACAGACACTCGCCACACTCGACCTTGGATCGAATCAAATCGGACAAAAAGGGGCACAACATCTCGCCAATGCTCTTACCAACAACACAGTAAAATACAATTCTCCATTCATCCTCTTCTTCACTATCTCTACTTTACATACAGACACTCACAACACTCGACCTCAACGGCAATGGAATCGGAATCAACGGTACCCAACATCTTGCCAATGCCCTCATGAAAAACACGGTAAAACATCATTCTCTATTCATCTCCTTCTTCATTATTTCTACTTTTTCACACAGACACTCACAACACTCGATCTCATGAACAATAAAATCGGAGTCGACGGTGCACTGTATCTTGCGAATGCTCTCGTCCATAACACAGTAAAACACCATTTTCTACTCATTTCGCCCTTCAATATCTCTACTTCTCACGCAGACACTGTTCACACTCAAACTTGCGGATAACGCCATCTTGAATCAAGGGACGCAATATCTCGCCTATGCTCTCACGAAAAACACGGTAAAGCACGATCCCCTGCTCATCTCCTTCTTCACTGTCTTTACTTTTTGTACAGGCACTCACAACACTCGACCTCAGAAACAATGCAATTCAAGACAATGGTGCACAACATCTTGCCAATGCTCTCGCCAACAATATCGTAAAATAGTATATTCTAGTCATTCTGCTCTTTACTATTTCCATTTTTCGCATAGACACTCACCACACTCTCCCTTCGGTGGAATCAAATCGGAAAAGAAGGAGCACAATATCTCGCTAATGCTCTCACGAAAAATACAGTAAAACACAATTCTGTACTCATCTTCTTCTTCACTTTCTCCACTTTTAACGAAGGCACTTGCTATACTCGACTTAATGGGTAATAAAATCGCAGCCGACGGTGCACAACATCTTGCCAACATTCTCACCAGTAATAGGGTAAAAAATATTATACTCATCTCTGTTTTCACTGTCTTCACTACTAACACAGACACTCGTCACACTCGATCTTGGGTGGAATCAAATCGGAAAAGAAGGAGTACAACTTCTTGCTAATGCTATCACGAAAAACACGGTAAAACACGATTATTTACATATCTTCTTCTTCATTATCTCTATTTTTTATGCAGACACTCACAACACTCGACCTCATGGGCAATGAGATCGGAGCTGACAGTGTACAGCATCTTGCTAATGCTCTCATCAATAACACGGTAAAACGCCATTGCCTACTTGTTTCGTTCTTCAATATCACAACTTTTCACACAGACACTCTCCATACTTAACCTTGCGGATAATGACATTGGGAACAACGGGGCACAATATCTTAGCAATGCTCTTGCCAACAACACTGTAAAATAGCATATTCTAGTCATCCCGCTGTTCACTATCTCTAGTTTTTATACAGACACTCACCACCCTCTATATCATGGGCAATAGAATAGGAGTCGACGGTGCACAACATCTTGCCGATGTTCTGGCCAACAACACGGTAAAACACGATTCTCTACTCATTTCCTTGTTCGCTATCTGTACTTTTCACATAGACATTGACAACGCTTGACCTCACAAACAATGAAATCGGAGCCAATGGCGCTCAGCATCTTGCCAATGCTCTCATCAATAACAAAGTGAAACATCATTTTCTACCGGCGTCTCTCTTCCCTATCTCCATTTTTCACACAGACACTCGTCACACTCGATCTTGGATGGAATAAAATCAGAGAAGGGACACAATATCTCGCCAATACTCTCACGAAAAACACGGTAAAGTATGATTCCCTACTCATGTCCTTCTTCACTATCTCTACTTTTCACACAGACACTCACAACACTCAGCCTTGTGGGCAATGAAATCACACAACACGGTGCACAGTATCTTGCCAATGCTCTCGCAAAAAACACGGTAAAACAGTATGTTGTACTCATTTCGTTCTTGAATATCCCAACTTCTTACGCAGACACTGTTTACACTGAACCTGGCGCAGAATTACATCTTGAACCAAGGTGCACAAAGTCTTGCCAATGCTCTCGCCAACAATACGGTAAGACACCATTTTTTACTTATCTCGTTCTTCATTATGTCGACTTTTCACATAGACACTCATCACATTGATTCTTACGGGCAATCAAATCGAAAAACAAAGAATAGAAGATGCGATGGAAATTCTGAAGGCTAACGACGCACTGAAAGTGCTCTGGTGATAACTCGTCGTTTCGGTTTCAGATGACCACGTTGTACTTTTTTGGAATTCTATTTTTCTATTTGAGTGAAGAAACTTACGTTACGTTTTAAGATGATGTCTTTTTTATTGTGTGACTTCGTAGAATTTCGAAAGAGTCAGGTGAGAATGTCATGGATGATTTGCTAAAACGAACTTATTGGCAACTAACTATTCCTATTCATCTGATGTAATTCTACACATAGTCATTTTTACGTCTGAGAGGTTGTGACAAAATCGTGAAAAGTGCTTTTGAACGTGTCTGTGAAAGATTATTAGGTAGATGCATATGAGGTATTAATCTATGTTTTCGATTTCTCAAGGATTCATCTATATACCATCGATCGTATATGGAGAGAATACTTCGCTACCTGTAACACATATTTAGTGTTCAGAAAGGTCCGTTGGAGACCGACTACTTCATCGATAAATCACTTGCAAGTCGTGAAAGTATGCGTTCGTCGTCTCAACTTTTTAACTTTCATATCAAGAATTTCACGAAAAGAAGAAAGAACTTGTATTCTGTTGAGAGCATATTTGGATTCTTGGGTGGTCTGGTTTTTACCATTGCTGAAGATTATCACATCTGAGTATAAAGCTGATGAAACACTCGACACATGTAGCATAGAAGGAAATCTGAAAATCGGATAGGAAATGTCATCTGTAGAATTGTGATTGCGTTTTCAGAAACATTGAAACCTTGAACTGAACACTCTCTTCCATTCCCGTATCGTTAGGTTGCGATTTGAAATCCATCGACATTTAGTCATCAGCTCTGAATGTGTCGAGCACACAGTAATAAGATCAAAAGCAAGCAGTCGATTACAAATATATCGAATGAATAACATAAATAAAACAAGAGCCAACTCATGTACTCTAAATAGAACAAGACAGCGATGAACAAGTATCTGATATTTACTACTTTCCTATTATGGAAGCAGACTCTGAATAATCTGGATATCTATCTGTCACGTCTCATCTAAGACAACGCTTTCGAGTCTTTCCAAGATAATAGTAATGTGACAACTGATTTTGCATTAATACGATGTTTCACTGCGTTCTCCAATTCAATGCCCATGAAATAGCACGAATCGATAACGTTGAGAATTATAAATCCACGCAAAAGCAACTGCAACTAATGCACTTATCACCTACAACTGTACATATGCTCAGTGAAGATGCCATGTCCTTTTGGTCTTCGATATTATAACCACAACGGTCAAATGTAGTAATAGTCTCTGTAGAAAGTACAGATAGTCAAGAGAGGGATGAAAGTTGAGAATAATATGTCACTATGTTTTCTGTGAAAAAAAGGGTTGGTGAAGATTGATACAGGGGTGAAATTGAGTCTACAACAAAATAAACAAATGATGCGTTGACTAGAAAGGATTGCATGTAGGCTAATATCACCATCCATCTCAATAAACCATCAGTGTGCAATTTTGATATAAAACATTGGGATCCACTATCCTCAGCTGCAATTAAAACAGATGCCTTCTTGTTCTATCTTGCACAGAAACCGAAAAAATAAAGATGAATAGAATACAACGAAGATTATTCGATTGATTATCTCGATATCAAATGAGATTGCATATGTTTGGTTAGATTTGATGAGATGAGTAGAGGATCAAGAAGCAAATTCATGTTTTCCTTCAGAGGATTCATCACTGAAAAATTAGAAATTTGATATTGTTCAATATACATATGATCATTATGATCATCATGATACTCAGAATTACCAGTGCCATAATTCTAAGAATTCATAATTGAAATTCAAACATGACAGGCAAGATAATGACGATCAACATCATGACTTTTGACTCTCAGAAAAATATGAACTTCTACATATGAGATTACGAAGGAAATTTATTTCTTGTTGATAAGAGGGAAAAGAGAACTAGAGTTCTATTCATTTCACGATAAGACTGTGGAGATCAATCAAGAATATAAGCGAACAGAGAGAGGGTCTGCAGTGTACATATTGACAATGATTGCGATAAGTAGGCGACGACTGCTTCAAGTGGTTCTTTTTTTCAATATCATACGGCATTGCCAAACTGCATCGTTCTTGTGCTTTGTGATTTCATGAAAAATATTGTGGAATAAACTTCATATTTAAAATTGC